TATGGCCACACGTTCCGTGGCTTTACCTGTGTCCCATCACATGTTGCTCCTTAGACTCCCGACTCCACCCTTCTCTCTGTATCTCTGCTTGGACTTCCCGCCTGCCTCTAAGCTGCCTTGCCATAGGTCAAAGCTGCTTTATTTACTAGCCAATGGGAGCAACACGTATATTCACAGCCTACAGAAAGACATCCCACAGCACACGAACATACCTTGAGTCTAGTCAATCCACAATCAGGAAGCCGAATGGCTAGGAACTGGAGAGATGGCTCAATGGTTAATAACACAGGCTGCTCTTACACAGGACACAGGTTTGGGTCCCAGCGCCCACATGGAAGCTCATAACCATCTGTAACTGTTACTCAGGGTGTGTCTATTAGGGTGTTTCTAGAGAGGATTAACTAAAGAGAAAAGACCCACTAACTATGGGCAGCACTCTCTCAGGGGTTGAGGTCCCAGGCTGAATAAAAAGGGGGAAATGTGCTGAGCACCAGTGTTCATGTCCCGGCCTCCTGGCTGCAGATGGAATGTCACCAGCCACTTCACTGTGAGCATAAACAAATCCTTCTTTCCTTACATTGGTTCTGACAGCAACAAGAAAAATGACCACTATAGAGGGCGGCCCTCTCTTGTGAGACAGGTCACCTTCCCCGTGGCAGCTGGAAAGATGGCTTAACTCACCTGTGCCGAGGGAGGGAGACTGAGGGGCAAGGTGGTTCCATCGGTTTCTTTGCTCACACAGCTCTCTTCCCTCTACAATGATGTCAACGGTCCTGTCTGGAGTCTGGGTCAAAACAGAGGAGAAACTGGGGAGGCCAGGGCCACTCCCTGAGTGGTAACAGGTACAAACATTTGTTTAATGATGCAAGGATGTGTTGTTTTCTTTTATGTTGCATTTGTTTAACTCTGTGAAGCTGTGTTACTTTGCCTGTCTAAAACACCCGATTGGTCTAATAAAGAGTGGAACGGCCAATAGCAAGGCAGGAGAAAGGATAGGAGGGCTGGCAGGCAGAGAGACTAAAGAGGAGGAGAAATCTGGGAAGAGGGGATCAAGAGAAAAGGGAGCCAGTCACCCAGCTACACAGCCAGCCACGGAGTAAGAGTGAAAGTAAGATTACAGAAGTAAGAAAAGGAAGGAAAAAGTCCAGAGGCAAAAGGTAGACGGGATAATTTAAGTTAAGGAAAGCTGGCTAGAAACATGCGAAGCTAAGGCCGGGCATTCATAAGAAAATAATTAAGATTCTGTGTATTTACTTGGGAGCTGGGTGGTAGGCCTCCTAAAGAGTAAAAACACTGTAACGTTTACCTTGTGAACCTGCATCTGTTGTCGAGACACTGCAAGGTTTTCAAACTTTTATATTATTAAAGTACTTTGCATGTGTGACTTTCGAGAGTGTTTATGATCAACACAATGTGATTCTACAGAAGAAACATGTTTGCATTCCAGAAAACATGGTTATCTACAGAGACCACATGGTATCCATGGAGACGTGGGCATGGAGGGGACATGGAAGGTGGGAGGAGCTGTGTCAGTGTTATGTCAGCCGCATCTCTGAGCTACTCCAAGGGACCTTCAGGGGCTGCCAAAGGGGAATGTGGGTGCCACCATGGCGCCTGTCAGTTGAGGGGGGGCACTGAAAGCCAGGTTTCCAGTGACTCCTCTGGATGGGTTAAGACACAAACACTGTCCCCGGAGAGTCCTCAGACAGGCAGGAGCTGGGGGCCCGTGTTAGGCAAGATGATCAAATGGGCAGACAGCAATGGGAGTCAGAGCCAAAGCATCTCTTGAAGAACGACTGTGGGGGATGGTCTGTGGAGTCCTTCCAAGTACGGTTTCTCATGGTCACCAGAGCACCGTACAGAGATACTGCGAGCGCAGGGATGATCTCGGGTTCTCCGTGAAAGTGGGAACCCCATCTGTTCCTGTTCATTCACTCATCCTGCAAACTGTTCTTAGGAGCAAGACCTCAGGCTGTGGGCTACCAGCACGGTAATTATGCTTTGAGAAGCATGGGCCATCATCATGAGGCACACAAGAAACACAGAGAACAAACAGGGCTAGAACAGCTGGCATGGAGGCTGCAGGAAGCCTATGGCCTGGACAGAACCCAGGAAACATAGCTGAGCTAAAGCCTGGAAGAGGAACGGGGCTTGGCTGGCTAGTGCAGCTGGCCAGCAGAACTGTGTGGCGTCTGGTATGGGAAGCTCTCAGCAAGGAGGGGTAGAGGAAGCCTGGGCTGGAGCACAGGCACACTGAAGATCATGGAGGTAAGACTAGACCGGTGGCTTTTTATACCATTGGTATAACAGCATTCAGCCCTTTAACCTGCCGAAAGAAAAAGTGGTCAGCGATGGTTTGGGATTGCATCCATGGAATGATGTGGAAGAAGGCTGGTAAAGAGAGCGCCAACCCTCCCGATCTCACACCTGACTTGGGAGGTGCGGCAGACTGCGAATGAGCTGCGTTTCAGTGCCATGGGGTTTCATGAATGCTAGGCCTGAGGAAGGAGTGGCAGACAGCAAGCATGATGCCAAGGTCTTTACCTTAAAAGGCATGTTGATTTTGGCATCGTGGGAGATTACAGGAGAGACCTGAAGGGAGAAGGAAACACTTGGCTTTCACCCGTCAGGTTCATTATGCTGGAGAGCAAGAATACATAAACGTGAGCAGACTGGCATGGAATGCAGAGGGTGAGGCACCCTGGGACAGAGGCAGGATCATTAGCACAAATACATGTGGCACCATGAGCAGGAAAGACTAGCGTGGGGAGAATGCCAGAAAACAAGACGGCAAATGTGTGATACACACATCCCCAGCCTCCCCTCTGTGCTCGGAGAAGACGATGCTAATAAATCACAGCCTTCTTTCTCTCAGAACCCAGTGCTATACAAGGCAAAGGCAAAGGCTGTGGAGGAGAGCTTGTTAACACTATCAAATGGTGCAGCAAGACCCAACTGGGTAAGTCTGAAGTAGGCTCCTGGGACTGACATCTGGGGAGTCACTGATCCCTTTCCACCTTCTTTTTCAGAAATGGGGGAGGAGCGCATGTGTTTGTGCACGTGTGTGCAGGTACACACATGGAGGGCAGAGGCTGATGTCAGCTCCCTTCCTCCGTCATTTTTATTTATTTGAGACAAGATCTCTCACTGAATCTTAAAGCCATGGATTTGGCTAGACTGGCTGGCCAGCAAACCTGTTGGGGATCTCTAGCTCGGGGCCTCACTCCTCCGTCTCCAGACCCAACCCTCAGAAAGACCCCCAAGAGTCAGCCCCTCCCCCAGGGCTGCTCAGACCATGCCTACAGGCTATTTAAGACCTGGTCGCCAGACCTGTGCTCTCTCTCCTGCCTTCCTGGGAGTCACCCGGGAGATGCTTTGCTCTGCTCAGATTAAACCTGGATTTATTAATTTGGCCGGATCTGACTTATTGCATCGGCAGTGTTACTCACAACCAGGAGATTTCAACTTTTTGAAAGCCACGGAGCCTCCTGTCTCCTTGTCCAGCTCTGTGAATACAGGCCCGTGTCAACATGCCTGGCTTTCACACGCTGCTGGGGATGGAACTCAGGCCCTGTGCTTGCTCAGCAGACACTTTACCTCCTGAGCCATCTTCCCAGCCCCTAGAAACCATTGTTTTTAATGCTATATTTTTTAATGCTAAAAATATTTGTTTTAATGTTCTAGCTTTATTTTCTTTTATAAACATAAGCATGCAAAATTGGACGTACTGAATATCACAAAGTTAATGAGTCCCCTGTA